ACACGTTGAACGGACCGTACCACTCATGCACGGAGGGGAGTGGGATATGAGAGACTGTACTACGTTAAGATCATGGGAAGCTGCAGAGTGGGGGAGGGACAGGTGATCAAATTATCCAGTGTAGGGACGACAGGTCATGCAAACAGCGGCACTATGACGGGGGAAAGCAGTGGGTTCCATCCAATACGCAGCAACATCCGCCCCCTCCATGTCGGAATGGTACGATCCTATAATGGTGATATCACAAATTGATTTTACCAAATGGTGAAATGTTTGGCTTAATGTGTTTTTTAAAGTAATGTATTGTCAAAATTTTGAAAAAATATATATCGACCTCATTTTACCAAGAGGTAGCAGTGATCGTTAACATTTCAGTTACTGACATTTAAAACAACGTTAAAATATTTTGTTGGTGGAAAGGCAGTTTCTACCGATTTGGCTCTTGCTTTTCCACCAAACATCGGTAGAAAAGCAGTTTCTCCCAACACTTGAATGAGAAGTCAATTTCGTACTTGTATAGATATAAATTGTATCTTTTTACAATGTCACCGTCAATCCGCATTATTACACAATTTAAAGTATAATTGTACAATACACGTTGAAGAGTTATTGTGAGATGGCAAGTAACGAAATTAACCTCTCAAAATATCTTATCTCGGTTTCTCAAACGAGCGTACAGAACTTTGGCGTGGGTCCCTGGCTCTACTCAACGCCCCTCAGTTCAGTTTGCTGGGTTCAAATCCCGCTTGTCTACAGTGCTGACTACCGCTAATGCCAAATGCGTGTATTGTCAGTAACGCAAGTTGCAGCGGACAGCACTGTATCCCCAAATATGTAACTGAAACGGTCGAGTTACTTTAGGTCTGGTGCTGAGGTCACCTTTCCCATCACCACTCCTCACCCCCCCTCCCCACTATCGCCAATCCTTATTGGATAATCCACGTTCTTTTCATTGGTGCAGCTTGGGCTATACCAAATACTTATATCAGGTGGGTACTGTGGTGGTGGTGATGGCGGTGAAGATTACGGTGATGGTGACAGCAGTAGTGGTGGTTCAATCTTAACTTTGGAGCTTTCGTGACTGCAGGAATTATTCTTTGGTTCTTTCGGTAAAGTCACGTATAAAGAACCAAAGAATAAGTAGTGGTGGTGTTGATGGTAATGATTGAGGTGGTAATGGTGACGATTTTTACGGTGGTGGTAGTAATGATGATATTGCTGGTTATGTAACATTGGGGAATGTGTGATGATGACAATGCTGGAGGTGATAATGGTCAACAATTGTAACGTTACAATGGTCTTGGTGGAAATGTTGACGATAGTGGTAACGATGTTGCAAAATGTAGTGAAGGCAGTAGTGCTTGTGATGGTTAAATTAAATAAGTCATGGCGAGTATGGTGGCGATGTTAGTGATGGGAGTAATAGTAGGGGTTATGACAATAATTGCAGTAATATTTGGTGGCTGGTGGTGGTGTTAACGATGATATGGTAATGGTAACATTGATGGGAATGGCCAACAACCCAGCCTTATTTGGACCGTTTCACTACACTGTGCGGGGTGGGTATAACGAGCCACCGTGCACTCAGGATTTATCATTTCACATTTCACACAGAGGTGACATCAAGACCACTGCAATGTGACCCCATCACAGCAGACAATTTAATGTCCTTTGATGGGCCCATCTCTTGAATAATAGAGCCTAGGATCTCTCTGTCGCCAATGATACGAGATCACAACCGTTGTCCTAAATGAATTGTTTGATGTTGTTGTCTGCAGTGATGACCTGCACAGAACCTCACATTTCACTGGGTCATGGATCAAGCACGGTTTACATAGCATCATCATCACCATCATCATCACATCACCACCAACATCATCACCATCGTCCTCGGTGCTTACAGCAAGGTGTTGATGTTGCCGGTGATGGTCATGGTGGCGTCACTTGTTGGTAATGGTAATTTTTGACATTTACATTTATTTGATGCATTGATTTTAGGTACAAATGCTGGACCCACGCGCCAGTGTAAAGGTGATGTTAAAGACCCACGCCTCGTTCTCCCAATGACAGATCAGCACAGTGAAGACGCACGGCAGGTGGCGTGGACAGGTGAGTGCGCAAGTGATTGCGAGAGTGCGTGTGTGTCGCTCGCTCCTTCACACGCGCACACATATTCCCAGGTGCACCCACCCACGCACCGGGTGTACACGAAGACGTAAACACATACATCCACATAGAACACCAATACACGCACGCACACACACACAAACATACGTGTGCACACACAACGCACGCATACACATAGATTCTCGTGCACACGTAGACGCACGCACACGTAAAGCACATTGAGACATGGACACACACACACACAGCCGCATATATATTAAACACGTAAATGAGCACTAACCTGACACAGGAACATGCATACACACACATTGGTGCCTCGTGTGCACATATGCACACGTACACGCGCGCGCACACACGGGAACGTTGCGCACGCGTGTACATGTATGTACGGGCACGCACGCACGTATGTGTCTCTTGCACGCGTGCGAGCACGGGGATTGTACACGCAGGCGTGCACACGTACGTGCACGTATGCATGTGTAACGCGCACACTCATACATACACACATATATAGAGAACATCTATATTGCATGTACAATACTTTGCATACAAATAAACACCTGCATAATACACGTGTAAACATAAAATATACGCATCAGTCTTTGCAATGTATTTAGTAACATTATTCTGACTTTAATTGCAATTATAATAATGCAAGTGTTATTAATTATTATTGCATCTCAAGACTTTTTCAAGAGGGTCGTGCTGCATTGGGATGTTTGGTTAATTACGGTTAATTAATGTTTGGATCCATGATGGAAGAAACCAGAGAATCCGGAGAAAATCCGTCACACATAAGAAGGGGATAACCCTCAGCACTGCCATCCCATGGGCAAATCGTGTGGCCCCATGTCTTCAGTAGTTATGACCGAGTTATGGCTCACAAATAACTAAACGTTCAAGGAAAATCCAAATATCTTCCGTGACGATGTATAATTACTAGGCCAGATGCGTGAAGTTCATTTAAAAACAAGAGCAAAAGACACGACACCCACCAATATAATGGGAAACTGCATTGGCTCAACAATCCTAATGTAGCAGGACCTCCGGATAACGAGTCATGAGACTTGGTGACATGAAAATTACTGTATGTTAAAAAAAGAATAAAATATGATTCCACATTTTTATTCAATTCTACTTATTGGTCACTATAAACTGGTTTAATATTTACAAATGATCTTAGAGTACATGACATACAGTATGTACACATACAGTACAGTGTATCGTATATAAGGTTACTGTAAACACTATTCAAACTGGATGTACATTACATTAAATACAAATATTTCTCTTGATACTAACCATTTCGTATAATCTCTTAAGACAGTCGCTTACCTAATTGTTTTCATCAATTGGAAGATTTCTTAAGTTCAGCCCATATATTGTATACAGATAAATGTATGCAACGCAAATATAACCAAATTAACTTAACGAGTCGGGTCAAGGGCTGTTTGCGAGCACCTATTATGGACGACGGGGCATATCTGTTCGACACGCCCCGGCTAGCACCACGCCCAGCCACCTTTATCGGTCTCGGTACCCATGTACATCGGCAGGTGACATTCCAAGTTAACCTAGGAGAGTCCCAATCTATGTTCATGTACCAATCGATGCATGTACTGTATGTTGAACTTCTTTCGCGCCGTACGTAGCCAACCGTGCTAATCGGAGGTGCGAGGGAAGGACAACAAACTAAACACAAAAAGTAGCTCTCAAGAAATTCGTTTCCTAACACACATATACTGTGTTATCTTGTCTCACTTTCCCAAAATATAATAGTGTACACACACAGAGATACGAAGTGTACAAATACACATAGACAAGCAATACGAACACACGCACAAATACGTGTAGACAAAAACTACCTTTCAGCAACACTAGTGTACACACACAGTGTACAAACATACATACATACACACACTCTACTACACTATGGACCCAAGTCACATGTTGGCTGAAAGGCATTTTTCACCAATTTTCTAGCAGCGGGTGGGGGGACCCCAACAAAATAATGGTGAGCGAATGCGTCATTTCTCCACCATCTCATTGAATGTTGGCGGAAACTGCTTTTCTGCCAACGCATGAATTGGGCCCGTGGTCTTGTGTCGGTATATGATGACGTGCAGTCGCTATACAATAGGGGTGCACTGCTGCTGGGGTTGCCAACCGTCTGCTTTTCGACCGGACTGTCCAGTTATTTTTTTATCCCCCTCGACCTTGCCGTTCCATGCCTCCAACCCGACGGACGTGAAGTCCGTCTGCCCGTGGGAGGCGTGCGCCGTGCAAGACAAGCTCACCTCCACCCCAATATGGCATGGAGCGCGCTTGGTGGAACCCACTGGGTCGAGAGCCTGCCTATGGTAATACAACAATCCCGTTAAACATTGGTCCTGAAGGCCATTTCCATTTCTCACCTCAAATGTTTTTTAGGTGGGAAATGGAAACTTTTGTCTGTCCAATGTTTGGTCATTTATTGATGTTTTAGTCATGATCAGGGTTTATTTTTTTACTGAATGTGTTGTTATGAGTAGCCACATCCAGAGCCACAGCAAGAGGTTTCCTGGATGTGGTTGTGCCGGGTCATCAAAATTAAGCACCAAAAATGAAGCTATGCCCATGATCCTATACAACGGTGCATAATGAGTTATCTACAAATCGTAGACCAACATTCCATCAAGAGGTCGCCGCCCCCTCCTCCAACTGCTCCTGTCCCCTACTCTCTCCAAACCAATGAACCATGAACACGCCCATCTGTCCGTTCCTTGAAAATGGGAAAGTTGGCAACCCCAGTCGGTGGTTGGGCATGTGCGCGCGTGGGGGGGGGGGGCACGCGGGGGGCACATAGGAGCACGCGCAGGGGGGCACGCACTGACCTTGCTGCCCGACTCCTTGCTGCCACACTCCCCCTTGTCGTACCACCACTTATTTTTGAGTTTGTCTAGAATGCCCTGCTCGCTGAGCTTTAGCACGGCCAGGTTCACCTGCGGGCTGCCCTCGCCCCAGGGCCGCCCGCCACCCACCCACCCATTCCGCCACCCGGACAACCGGACAACCAAAGGACGAATGGATAAAGGGACGAATGGACAAATGAACAATCGGACAGGACAAAAGGACACCCGAACGATCAGATGACCAGACAAAGGGTCAACCGGACAAATGGAAAACCAGATAGAATGACATATGGACAAAAGGACAACCAAACAAAAGCAAGATGACATAAAAGCACAACCAGAGAAAAATATATATAGACAATAACACTACCAGACACAGGAATAACAGGACAAAATGACACATGAGCAAATGGACAACAAGACACAAAGATTTCATGGCGCAGACATAGGACACCGATATATATATGGGACACATTGGAGATGCACAGAAGCATACGAAATGTGGAATACACGTGGGAGACATGGGGCTCACACGAGACGCAAGCACAGAAGGGGATAGGTGGGACACACACATAGGAGCACACGCAAGACAAACAGAAGACACAATACACTTTTTGTAAATTAAAATGATTGCACCAGGAATGTAGGACCCATGGAGAAATAAAGGATCGGGGGGATCACATTGGGAAAGACATCATGGACACACACCAGACACATGGAAACATGGACACGTGGACACGGAGACACGAAACGATGGGTAAATGGAGAAAAGAGGTTTAGTGGTTGCCGTGGCCCGGGGGGTGGGGGTAGGGGGGGTGGCGGAGACGGTACCACAATTGCCGGAAGCAGCACGCGTGTGAACGAGGTGGTGGTGGTGATGATGACAACGGTGGTGATAGTGGTGGAGATGTAGGTGGTGATGTTGACGGTCATCACGGTGGTGATGATGGTGAATTAATAGTGGTAGAGAATTTATATGAGAGGAATTTTAAGTTAATAAATTAGCAATGGCCCGTGGTGATTTGGGATATATCTTAGTAATAATTAAAATAACATTGACATGAATATTAATTGTACAGTAGTTATTGCATTGATAGCAACCCATAGTTAGTCATAGTAGTTATAGAATGATGGTGCTAAGAGTAATTTGCAAACATTGTTATACAAATTGTCAATATTTTTTGTAATATATAAAAAAAATCAAACAAGAAAAAAGTATTCATGTATGTAGTGACGATGACGATGGTGATATTTTGCAATGGTGATGACGATGGTGGTGATATTGATGTTGGTGATGATGACGTGCCACCCTTAACACCCAATGTGACGTCATTATTCCGTGTTCAGCGTTTGCATAGGGGTGAGGAGACAAGGCACACACACGTGTACACACACACACGCACATAGACACGCACACGCGCACACACAAATACACACACAGAGAAATTTCATAAATAATATCACATTTCTTGGTTATATTATGTTATGATTTCTCAAAAACGACTTTATACGAAAGCGATATCCACGCCGCCTTAAATAAAATTTCAATGAAATTTTTTTTCAAGGGGAAAAAAATGCAACATTGCAAAAACAAATTTCCCTCCTCAAACAAATTGTAAATGTTTGCATTTTCCACGGTCTTCCGTTTGTTACCTTTATTTGCGTTCGCAGTATCGCTTTCAGTAATCGGCAGCGGAGAGATGCGCAAAAGGGTCAAGTTGTAAACCGAGTAATATAATCTTATCACTTGCCTTAAGTCAAAACTCCTCTCGTCCACAATGTAGCGGATTAGAAGAGAATCGCGTATGCATATGAAAATGCACAGCGTCATGCGCCCTTCAAGATGTCGAATTTGTTGTTGTTGTGAAACGAACATGGCTGAACCAAAAGTGTGTTTTGGAATTGTTAGAAATGCGTTTCTCTGATTTGTTGCCTAACGTTAGTCAAAATTGATAACAGTGATGATGATGATGGTAATTTATGATCAGCGGTGACATTATACGTTAGGTTTTAAGAGTCGTGCCGATTACTGTTGGGGGAACTGGGGACTGGGGAGACAAAACGATTTTTAAAACATCTGTCATCTATGACCAAACCTGGGACACACGGACGAAACTGACAGACAGACATGCCCTCACGTGGACAGACATACCCTGACAGAAACATACGGGGACAGACGGACATACACGCATGCAGACATGGACACAGACGCACGTGGACAGACAGGCAGACAGACGCCACTCACTCACACGGGACGGTCACGCGGATGGACGGACTGCTCACGGAGACGGGCACACTCGCACACAACACGGATACGCACTGACATGGGGGGGGCACACGGACTCGCACGGCTACTCCAGCACACGTACTAACACACTCGGGCACACTCGCTTCACTCTCTCACTCTCTCGCCCTCTCTCGCCCTGTCTGTCTAGGTAACTTCTATGGGTGTGCGATTCTCGCGAGGTACATCAAGCCAGGTCGCAGTGACCCAGCGCATGAAGCCACAGGGCTCAGCGCGGAACCCGTGCAGAATTCTCTTTGTCAGCCTCTTTGTCTGTTTTGGCTGTCTCTGTCTCTCCGTATTTATGTCTGTCAATCTACTTGTGTGTCTGACTATCAATATGTCTGCCTGTCTGTTTCTCTGTCTCTCTGTCTGTCAAGTTGTCAATCTGGTTGGCTCTCTGCCTGCCTGTATGTTAATCAGTGTGTCCATCCACTTATCACTTTGTCTGTACGTCAGCGTACCTGACTCTCGTCAACTTGTCCACCTATCAGCCTGTCTCTCTGTAACTGAACGTGTACATGAGTCCGTTTGGATGTCTGCCGAGTTTTTTTCACGCAGTGGCTGTGAGTTTCACTGTCAATTCAATGAGCAGCTAAGCACTATTGGCTCCCACTCAAGTCTGGATCACGCACCATCAGGGGCCACAGACGAATGTGACATTCGTGATGATGGTGGTGAGCAAGTGAAACATACATGGACTAAATAATTATCCAGCACTGCGCTAAACAAATTGACGGGGTCCGAGAGAGAGATAGGCACATAGACAACGACACTCTGAGACAGATAGATACAGATAGAAGACTTGGATAGAAACGCAAAGAGACAACGGCAGAGAGACACCTGTGGAGATAAAGCCAGCAGTAGACAGGACAGAGAGATAGCGTTTGAGACAAACGGGACTGATTTGTGGACAATAACTGACATACAGACACTGAGATAGAAATAGTGAGAAAGACAGACTAGAAAGCGAGACAGACAGAGAGACAATCCAACCTTGGGACTGAGATCAGCAAATATTCGAAGACAGAAACTAAAAAACACAGCGGGGCTGACTTGGAGAGAGAGGCAGAATGTGAGACAAAAACCGAGAGAAGACAACAAGAGAGACAGACAGATGTAAACATCAGTGGCTACACAAGTCAGAGAGACAGAAATAGCTTCCCAAGACTGACAGAGAAAGTGGGTGTCTGCACGGGTTATGCGCTGGAGCCAAATAGGGTTAGGGGTTAGGACTGGGGGTAATTGATTAGGGTTTAGGGGTTATGGGGGAGGGTTGATGGTTCGGGGTAGGGAAAGCGGTAGTGGCGCCACTACCTTTGAGTCTCCCGTGTTGCTGCCGCACTCCCCCTTGTCATACCACCACTTATTTTTGAGCTTGTCTAACAGCCCCTGCTCGTTGAGTTTAAGAACGGCCAGGTTTACGGAGTTTCTTCACAGCGAGGGCAGGCGCGGCACAACAACAGCAACACACACGCGGTTAACGCACTTGGCTCGCCATCGTCACAGCACCGCCGACGACGTCACCGCACACTGGCGTCACTCGGCTCCCCATCACCACACCAGCATCACTCACAGTAACATCACTCCGCTCCCCATCACCACACCAGCATCACTCACAGTAACATCACTCCGCTCCCCATCACCACACCAGCATCACTCACAGTAACATCACTCCGCTCCCCATCACCACACCAGCATCACTCACAGTAACATCACTCCGCTCCCCATCACCACACCAGCATCACTCACAGCAACATCACTCCGCTCCCCATCACCACACCAGCATCACTCACAGCAACATCACTCCGCTCCCCATCACCACACCAGCATCACTCACAGTAACATCACTCCGCTCCCCATCACCACACCAGCATCACTCACAGTAACATCACTCCGCTCCCCATCACCACACCAGCATCACTCACAGTAACATCACTCCGCTCCCCATCACCACACCAGCATCACTCACAGCAACATCACTCCGCTCCCCATCACCACACCAGCATCACTCACAGTAACATCACTCCGCTCCCCATCACCACACCAGCATCACTCACAGTAACATCACTCCGCTCCCCATCACCACACCAGCATCACTCACAGTAACATCACTCCGCTCCCCATCACCACACCAGCATCACTCACAGCAACATCACTCCGCTCCCCATCACCACACCAGCATCACTCACAGTAACATCACTCCGCTCCCCATCACCACACCAGCATCACTCACAGCAACATCACTCCGCTCCCCATCACCACACCAGCATCACTCACAGTAACATCACTCCGCTCCCCATCACCACACCAGCATCACTCACAGCAACATCACTCCGCTCCCCATCACCACACCAGCATCACTCACAGCAACATCACTCCGCTCCCCATCACCACACCAGCATCACTCACAGCAACATCACTCCGCTCCCCATCACCACACCAGCATCACTCACAGCAACATCACTCCGCTCCCCATCACCACGCCAGCATCACTCACAGCAACATCACTCCGCTCCCCATCACCACACCAGCATCACTCACAGCAACATCACTCCGCTCCCCATCACCACACCAGCATCACTCACAGTAACATCACTCCGCTCCCCATCACCACACCAGCATCACTCACAGTAACATCACTCCGCTCCCCATCACCACACCAGCATCACTCACAGTAACATCACTCCGCTCCCCATCACCACACCAGCATCACTCACAGTAACATCACTCCGCTCCCCATCACCACACCAGCATCACTCACAGTAACATCACTCCGCTCCCCATCACCACACCAGCATCACTCACAGTAACATCACTCCTCTCTCCATCACCACACCAGCATCACTCACAACAACATCACTCCGCTCCCCATCACCACACCAGCATCACTCACAGTAACATCACTCCGCTCCCCATCACCACACCAGCATCACTCACAGTAACATCACTCCGCTCCTCATCACCACACCAGCATCACTCACAGTAACATCACTCCGCTCCCCATCACCACACCAGCATCATTCACAGCACCGCAGTGGCACAATGATAGCGGCTACGATGATGATTTTGGTTATGGATCGGGGTGGAACAACGCGCCAGTTAACACAGATGAATATCAATTTCATCTTATGCTCATGATACATGCATCAAATCGGTTGTGTTAAAACTATTTAAATCTCTATTGGAATAGGGGATGGATAAGTGCTGCAGTGGTTCACGAATTGCACTGATGATGAATGCAGTGATCGGAGTTTGATTCGCGACCCCCACAGCTTGACAAGCGACATCTGAATCGGCCCTGGGCCAGCGGTGCAAAATTCCACACACTTCCACAGCAGGGGGAAGCTGTGCGTCCTCAGGATGACCACTGTTTGACTTCCCACAAATTTGTATTAACTTTAACGACCCGAGAAGGAAAGATTATGGAGATTGGCTGAATCGATCACCGATCGTAATTCCGTATTTGTCAAATTGACGCGTTGCGGTGGACAAGTCGGTGTGTGGGTTGTAAGTGACTGGATGTGCCCTGCACACTTCCCGGTGGGAAGGCATTCACTCACGTTCTCCCTGATTTCAGAGTGATGCACGCTCACTGCCACGCTCACTCGCATTAGTTCACACAAACACAAAGATCCCCCGAAAAGCTTTAACGAATTTGGGGGCAAGTGCTATTAGCGAGCACCCATGAAGGCCGGCACGGCCCACAAGGAGGCGGGATGGCCCACACCATGCCCGGCCACTTTTGTCTCCCCAGTGCTGATATTTACACACTGCATCAGGTACTCATCTGGGGCTGAGTCGACCTCCAGAAGGTTCAGAAGCTGGACTGGTTCATACATTTGCCATCATTAATCATTATTGGCGGGAATCGAACATTTTCATCCCCACGGTCACACTGCACTAAATCATACTTTCATACTCACACACATGATTACATACACATTATTTTGTTTTCACTGTCATATTCTCAATATTCTCTCTTACATTCACTCTCACACCCTCTCTCACATCTTTTCACTCTCACCCACACTCCCGTGCTCACAGGATGCCTCCCTAGGTGGTGATGGTATTTAGTTATCTGGCTTCATGCGTGGATGGTTGACAAGATATGTCATTGTTATCTGGAGGGTTAGCGTGTTAGAAGGATGCATATATTTCTACGTGTTGTCATGGTTTATCTCTGTAGACATCTATTTGACAATGGTTATTTCATAATATAGATTTTTTTGTGTTAGATCGCGTAAATATATAAATGTGTCGTTAAACCCGCCACCACCCAACAGCTATTTAGTAAGGTCTGTCACGTAAACAGAACATGCCAATTCGTCACTAGTACAGCACACCGGTGTGTTGGAGAGCAAAGGCACAAAATTTACAATCGGAGTACGACGTTTCACCAGTAATTACAACTAGCTTCATCAGGCGACAGCCAGATATGTGGAGGGACGAAATAGGAGGATTTCTCCACAAATCTGGCTGTCGCCTGATGAAGATAGTTGTAATTACTGACAATCTGAGTACGACGTAGATTGTAAATGTTGGAGCTTTGCTCTCCAACACACCGGTGTGCTGCACTAGTAATGAATTGGCATGTTCTGTTTACGTGAAAAAACCTTAATAATTGGCTGTGTCGGGTGGTGGATGCTTTAACGACACATTTATATATGTATGCGATCTAACCCAAAAAAAAACCTGTATTTTGGACATTGGTCGCGAAAGCCTACGCGTTAAACTTAAATGGTTATTTCATCTGTGATTGGCTGCTCAATTGTAAATCTGGTAAGTTGTCTGGTTGGTTAAATGTACCACTGGTTTTAAAGTGATTTATTTCGCTGGTAAGCAATCTGGATATCTGGATAGATATCTGATTGATTAGATATCTGGCTGTCTGATTAGTTGCTGTATGGGTATCTGTGAATTATTTGTGTGGTTGGCTACATATCGAGTATAGCTCTCTCATGTCAAATGGATAGATATCTGGTTAACTGCCTGTTTTGCCACTATATATGATGTATTATCTATCTCATTATCTACATATCTTATATGTTATCTGAACAGTTGGCTTGACTGTTATTAGTCATCTGATCAGTTAGTTATCTCATGACCTGTTCTTTTTTACTGCCTGGTTTTCCATACATTTTGCTCGCTGTTCCTCTGTAAAGCCGTCTGGTTACCTTGCTAGCTCTTAGCACAAGGGCGTGTACATTTTTAAGATGCGCGTTCGTGTGGATGTACGTGAGGGGAGATGCTCACTCAATGGATTGCCTCGATTGTAAATTTACCACGATTGCATTGGAACTCCTTGTTTGAATAAGCACCTCACGGTAGACTTCACAGTGCTCAGAGGCACAGGCCAAATAAGGGTTCACAATAACGACCCCAAGCAAGGCCCATTAGAATTCACACTTCTAATGAGCGTGCAAATTAAGGCATTTCGACGTTCGTTACATTTCAGGGTGGTTATTAGCAGAGTCCCATTGCAGTTGGTAGTCCACATAAGCATAGGACGTGTGATACAGTGTAGACAGGTGTGGCAAGGGGGATGAGGGGGGGTCTTACCTTGAGAAGGGACAGTCTGGGGGGCCTGGATTCGTCGAGGGTCCATGTTTAAAAGGGTAGCGTATGACTTTGCCTCTAAAGATAGCCCGGTCATGCCTAGTGGCTCATGAAGAAGCCTCCTCAAAGCTATTAAACAACATTTTTTAAAATCAGATCTAAATTCACATAAATTGTGGATATGAATCTACGCAATATTATGTAAATGAAGCGTTTAGACGGTTTTCTGCAATCTACCGGTGCTCTACTCGGGTTAGAAAATATGCATAGAGAATATAAAAGGCATGGGTCAATGCAGATATTGAAGATCACCAATGAGAATAAGACAGTAATGACTATGATAGTTTGCGTGCAATATAACGACAACTTTTGAGAAAACATTTTAAGTCATTGAAAAAAGGAGCTGCGAGTAAACATTTGCAAATACTTTTTCCCTCAGTGACAGGAAAAGCATTTTTAACTGCAAAATGTGCCTGTTTTTAATCGTTAAGGGGAGTTTGCCTCAATCTCTTGATTGAAAGCCGCAATGAATCATCGTCCTTCAGGCTTTCCTCAGGATGAACATTTCGCAGTGGCGGTTTATTTATTTACTTGTGCCACAAACGGATTAGTTTCCGTTTCACTTCCGCTCATTAGAAGGTTAGTGCCTCATAAGTTATGCCACTGAGTTTTCCTCATGTTATGAAACTGTAGCCCTAAAGTTGTGCCACCTTTACTAAGACTCATCAACAAGGTTTTGCCTCATAATCCTGTTTTAATGTTCAAGACCGGAATCTCAAACTTTACCGAGTCTCATGAGCAATACGCAGCCACATATGACGAAGCTAGTTGTTGGCTTGATGCTATTTGTTCTCTGGATTATAAGAGGCACTTCCTCCCCCTGCATTTTAGAGCATAAGTTATGAAGATGTCTTATAATCCAGTAGGTGCATGTGTGTGAGAGACCAGATCTCTATAACTTGGTTAACACTGGGCACAAGTTTTGGGTTGGTTTGTACTTTCCAGAACGTCTTAGCAATCCGGAGAATCGGATACTTATTTACAGACTGATTATGCGATTAATAAACTGATGCTTTTTTTGTTTTACTCTCCTGTACTGTCATTTATTTGTCTAGGCGAGACCGGGACTTGCTGGCAAACGCCTACGCCACCCCTTTAAAGATGCCCCCCCCCCCCTACCTGTCTAAATTGACTCAAGTCCAAGGTGGGGGAGACCCCACGGCCGGAGGCGGGATGGGCACGGAGGAGCGAGTGTGTGGGTTCGTGTACGTGTGTTTGTGCGTGTGTAAGGATGTGTGTTCGTTTGTATCTTTGCGTGCGTGTGCACATGTGCATGTTTAGTAGTGTGTTGTTGGTCTATGTTGGTGCACATGTATGTATTGGACTCTTGGTGGGCGTGCGTGTTTATTTTTTTTGCGATTGTTTTGGTGCGCCTTTTGTTAACGTGCATTAGTTCGTAGTTAGCTAACACACCTGTCTTGTGTATATGTCTGTTCACCTTGGGGTGCAACAGGGATGTGTTCTGGTAGCCTACACTATTTCACATCTTTTTTGACCACAAAGTGCAAAATGCTTTCCATAACTCTACTGGAATAATTTCCATTTGGTACAGATTCAATGAGAGGCTGATTGATGCTCGGGTGTGGTCAAGGGATGACCAACTATTGGTTAACCATATTACCTATGCTGCTGATCTGGTAATGGCTGCTCACTCTGAGGAGTTGGAGACAACTGCTGATGAAACGTGGTACTAAGAGATGGGACCTTAGCATTAGCCCTACAAAAACAAAACAATTTCCTGGGTAGTTTATGTCATCAAATACTCCACTATCTCAACTCCCCACGAGTGATCGGGCAGTTGTGGAGTGAGTGTAAAGGTTTCTGCTCCTGGGCAGCATGCTTAGGACTCGCTCCAGTTTCGCACCAGAGGTTTAACTCCAAATCAGTTGAATGGGATCTTATCATCAGCTGTGTAACGCTGTGTGGAAGCTACCTGAACTATCACTCCATACGAAGTTTTGGGTCTTCTCGACCACAGTCGTGCCCTCCCTTTATGCTTGTGAAATACAGACCCCTTTGAAGGAGCATTTGTGCCAGATTGAAACATTCAGGCTGACGTCTCTGTGATCCTTCCTGGATATAACTAAACTGCATTTGTGTGAGCTCCAAGATCCTTGAAAGATATGGACACAGTCCCATCAGTGACCTCCAGCAGGTGGCCCACATGCCCAGCCACCACACGCCTAAGCAGCTTCTGTTAGGCCAGATAGAGGGGGCTAAACGGGTGCAGCACGGACTAGAGGAGAGACGGACTTATGTGGTACAAAAGGATCTGGAGCTAATTGGACTTGCTCATGACTGGTACCAGCTATGTAAAGATCGGTCTCTGTGGAGGAAGCTTATGAAAGATGCTACTGGGAAGTTACAGACAGGTGCTCTCCAGCAATAGTGAAGGACAAAGCAGGTAAGCTAACAGCGTGTGGAACACTGGGCAGCTAAAATGCAGCAAGTTCGCAGTGGGGGGCACAGATGGCGCATCTCATTCAATCAACCAACCAACTCATAACACATGGGTCTGTCCCGTTACCTCCACTCAGCGAGGCTTCCTAACTTCACGTGGCCTCAAGGTGCATCTAGCCTGGCACAAGCACCATGGTGACGTCACCACCACTTAGTGGCAAATGGCAGTTATGTATTGGTGTGTGTATTGTGCATTGGTCTTTATTGGTTTTGTATGTGGGTATTGCGGTGTATTGGTCTCCATTTACATTGGTGTATATTGCTCAGTATTGGCTTGTGTATTGTCTTTCTTGGAGTGTGAGTGTATATTGCAGAATAATGGTATGCGTGTATATATTATTTGTATTTGTGCGTATCTATATATTGCTGTGTATCAGTATTGCTGTGTATTCCAATTCATTGTTTGTATATATTGCTGCATCACAGTGTATATTGATCTTGGTATTCGTGTATTGTTGTGTATTTGCATTGGTGTGTGTATGTATCGGTATGTGAAGTATCTGCAGAAGTATTTGTATTGGTGTGAATATATATTGCACCTTTGTGTGCATGTATTTATTCTTCTGTATATGCATGCATGTGTACATTCATGGGTGTTTGTGTTGGTGTGCATGTTAGTATTTGTATTTGCGTGCGGCTGTATTGGTGTGCATGTGCGTGAGTGTCAGAATGTGACCGTTCCTCCTGCCCTTCCCAAGGCCACACGAAGACCCCACCACAACCCCACACCTCCAGCCAGAAAACCCCAAGCCCAACACAGCCTCACAGGTGCCACCTCTTCCCTCGAGCCTCCTCCACTGCATTTATCTTCAACTCACATTGGCCTCAATTTCACTTTCATTTCATGGACACGGGTTCAAACTATGTGTTGAAAAACTCCGGGCTTCCATTACATCCCAATTTCATAATGTATAAATGGCAGAATGGCACTGTGGGTACAGGGGTCAACTCGGTTATCAAATTAAGTTTACCATTCTGCAATCAGTTAGAAGTGGTTGCCATGTGAACAGACTTTCCCCTGTTTACCGGCTCAAGGCCATGATCATACGTTAATGCTGCCTAACATTCTAGATTGGAAGTTTTCGTGACTGCAGGGATCCATACTCTTTGGTTCTTTCGGTAAAGTCACGTAGGTATAAAATTAATTAATTCACGACGTTTCGGGCGCAACACAAGCGTTCGTCATCAGGTGGGACAACCACAGCAAGAAATAATTGTTGAAGTGCTGTAGTTGTCCCACCTGATGACGGACGCTTGTGTTGCGCCCGAAACGTCGTGATTGAATTTATTTTATTTTATACCTACGTGACTTTACCGAAAGAACAAAAGAGCATGCCTAACATTCGTTTTGGCGGACAAATTAATTGGCTTTTAAACTATTTCAAGTAATCAATTTGGTGTCTTTTATTTAACCACGTGAGAAACCTATAACAGAGTTTTTTGAGTGAGATTGCGTAAATATAAATGTGTCGTTTAACCCGCCACCACCCGACACAGCCAATTAGTAAGGTTTGTCACGTAAACAGAACATGCCAATTCGTTACTAGTATTGCACACTGGTGTGGTGGAGAGTAATTCCACAACATTTACAATTCGCGTATGACATTTTGCCAGTACTTACAACTAGCATCATCAGGCAACAGCCAGATTTGTGGAGAAATACTCCTGTTTAGTCCTTAAATAGAGGGATACATATGATGTCGTCACTTGTGAGCCAATCAGGTGCGAAGGCCAAAAGGGGGTGCATATAAATTACAATGGGCATCCACTGTAGTTCCCTGTCTGTTTTGCTTTTAAGATCTCACAACCTGTCGTTAAGTAGATGTCATGCTTTTCAATTACTTGCAGGGAACGTTTAAACTTAGAAAATGTGTGCATTATGCCAGAGGCTTTCAACAGTCTACGTTTGTGCACTTCATCACACGGTCTTTGAACTCTGCTTTACAACAGATTAAGCACCTTGGTTTGAACATTTTTTTAGAACTCTAATGGGGCTCCTCAAAGCCTACAGGGAAGTAAATGAGGTGCATAGAGGTTTGGTAAAGTTCACTGAGGCTCCTGAATGCATGTAGGTGCTCAGGAAGGTGCATTGAGATGGGCCACAGGGGGTCTTTAAGGATTATAAATACGCGAAAAGCCTGTTGAGGCTAACGAGGGGTCGTGAAGCCTTGTAGAGTTTTGAGGAGGCTTGTGAAAGCACACTGGGGGTGGAGCAGTGACGCAGTGGTTTATCGCACCAACCTGCTCATCTGAGTTTGATTCTTGGCCATGGCTAACATCTGAACAAGCTTTGGGCACCTCCTATACCAACCCACATTGACTGACATGGTGATATTTTCAAATAACCTCTGTAACTATAATGCTCATAAGAGACTCATGAAAGCCTACGGGTGCCCATTATGACTAATTCAGTTATCGAGCATGCAAGCAATGCAACTATGAAGAGGGAGGAATTCGGATAAGGGGCTCCATTTCATTTATTGCAACCTGTACCCATACCAACCACACACTACTGGCAAGACATTTTAGAAAGTGTCACGTGAAGCCTACGGAGGTTTGAGGTTTTCTTTTTTTACAAGGCCTATGAAGACTCACGGAGGCTTGTGGCAACCTGTGGGGGTCTGAGTGGGCCCCCTTTCAAAACGGGAAGCAGGGTTAGCGGCAGGAGGCTTCTGGGATGCAACTGGGGTTGTGGTGGGGTGATCTCAGCCGCGGGGACCCACGCACCTAAAACTGGAGCCCTTGGGTGTTGCGATGCCGTAGCCCTTGGAGTCGAGGTTGCCGCCGACTTTCATGGTGTCACATGGCTTGCGCTGCTCGATGTACTCGTTCATCGTGGACTCGAGCAGGTACGCGTACTTGCCCTTGGACTTGCGCACGCGCGCCACCCCCTCCGCCGTTGTCTTAACGAACACAGATGGCTCCGCTGACTTCATGTACGACCACATCTTGTCATACACCGCAATCTTGGAGCGCTTGAGAGGTCAAGATGGTTATAAAGAGGTCGCAGGGGTTACAGGGAGAGAAAAGAGATTGTTATTGAGTGAAAGTTGGACATGAAAAAAGTTAGGCATATCCCTGTTCAAACGAGCATGGGGCTGCACTCATCTCTGCTTGTGGCCATGACCCAGTGGTGGAAATTCTACATTCCTATGGTGGGAACTAGTTAACCATTGGGGCAACACCTCTTGAAATCCTACAAAATGGTACCCATTTAATTGATCCTGGAGAAATGATAATGATGGACTAAAGTCAATCCCTGAACGATATTTGAACCTGTGAGCTTCTGAGAACGTGGCCAAAACAACACCCGGCCAAGAAATAAACCACAACTGTTAACACTAATCCTATCGTTCTATACTATACTTTACTCAGTTCACTGGCTCCTGTCATAGGAATGTGACACTTCCACCGCTATCCATGTCATTGGGAGACACTCATACATTTGACCTTTGTCTTGTGATTTTACCCAATTTTTTTTAAATAATTTAAATTGCAATATAGTATAATCCAACTTACAGCCCTTATATCAGTCTACTGTTGGATGAAGGCATCATCCCCATGCAGGGTTCGAGGTCGTTTGGCAATTCTTCATTACACTGGTCTGCGTGGGTTGGTGAAGTGGGGCCCAGGGTCAGTTCAGACATCACTCGCCACCGATGTTAACGGCGGCCAGGAATCACACTCTGGTGGCTGGGTTTATAACGCAGCGTTGCGAACCGCTGCGCCATCACCTCACCCCAATACAATACAATACAGCGTGTAATTATATAACATTTAAAGCAATGCCTTAATTTACAGAGTACATAAAATGGAATGGATAATCGTGGGTTGCTCTAACCTAGATTTAATACAGGATCTCAGCAGCTCTAGAATTACTATTATGAGCCCAAATATAGAGACAGATGACCAGGCCAAGGACTAGAACTAAGAGGGTCACCAAAATACCAAGCCCATGCTGTCTTATCTCCCCACAACTCCCTATGTCTCTCCATATCTCCCCATGCCTCCCCGCTTCTCTCTGGTTTGTTCTGTTTCCCCCCACATATCTTGCGTATCTCCATGTTTCCCTGTTAGTCCTCTCATCTCTCCATTTCTTCCTGTTTCTATCCACATCTCCCCGTCTCCCCATGTCTCCCCACCCCCCACGACCCCTGGATCTCACCCGGAAGAATTCCTTGGTGGAGCCAGCTTCAAGGGTTCCGTACGCAATCTCCGTCTGCTTAGCCAGGTCCTCGGCGCTCTCGATGGGCGACACCATGCGCTCGACCGTGAGGAAAGCAGCCAGGTTGGCCGTGTAGGACGAGATGATGATGAGGGTGAAGAACCACCAGACCCCACCAACGATACGGCCAGACAGGGACCTAGTACCGCACAAACACGCGTATACAAAATAGACATACGCACGAACACAGGAGTAAAAGTGCCAGAATATGTGAGGCATATAATGGTTCATCTCACTCCCCTACAATTGGATGAATTGTCACGATTCAAGGTTACGATGAATTCGGGAATAACCATGCACCCCCCACCCCCTCATCTCACCTCCCAGTATTTCTGGGCGCACTATGGGAAAGCGCATGCAACGCACCTAGGGGAGATGTCGCAGCCCTGGCGCATGAAGGCGCCCAGGGAGAACCAGAGACTGTTGAAAATGCCGAACTCGTTGGGCTGCTCGGTGGAGACGGTTCCCACGAGGGCGGTTCCAGCCATACCGGCACCGCCGCCCCCACCGTACACCGAGCCCACCAGGCTGAGGCCACCCCCGTTGGCGATGCTGGCGCCCAGGTCTCTTCCCCCGAGACCTGGGGACACACGGGTATGCCGGTTGTGTGGGCTTGTCGGCAAACAGGTATTTGGGTATATGGGTACACAAATATGTGGGTATTGTGGGTTCATGTGATGTATGTTATGTGGATACATGGGTAGAGGATGTGATTGTACGGGTATCGAGGTTTTTAGATACATAGTTGCATGAGTAACGAGAACTTGAGTACACAGATATACAGCTGAGGAGGTGAATGAGGAGACAGAGGAGGTGGAGTAGAAGATCAAAGAGGAAGAGCGAATGGAGAGTAAATCATCCCCCTAACTTGTGAAAATTTGGCATCCACCCATTGGTGTTGGTGATATGGTGATAGAGGACATGGATGACAATGATGACGGTGATGATGATGATGATGAACAGGAAGAAGTACTGCAGGACTCTCACCTCCTCCGTCGTCAAAGGTGGCGGCGCTGTCGTCGGGTCGCCACTCGTAGGGGCTGAAGCGGCTGACAAGAAAGAGCACGACGCTCACGCCGATGTAGGCAAACACGATGCACATCCAGATCTCATAGGCGAGCGGGTCGAGGAACGAAAACACCCCAGGTTTGGACTTCTGCGGCTTCTTGATCATGATGGAGATGCCCAGACTCATGAATGGCTTGGAGAAGTCGATGACCTCCTCGCGCACCAGCGTGATCGTCAGCGGAGCCACGGCCAGGTCGGCTTTCTACGTTGCCACAAACACGAGAGGGTCAGGAGTCAGGGGTCAAAGTCAGGCAGTGGTGTAGCTATCGGGTATGCGGCACACCGGAGAGCAGGAGAAATGGGACAGGGGGACCCTGTTGCATTCCATGCATCAGGGACTGTACACACCACATAACACCACGAGGGTTATGGGTCACGTTTGGGTTAAGGTTTTGGTTTTCAAAGATGGCCGGGTGGCTCAGGGATCAGAGCACTGCGCCGAATGTAGGGCTTTAATCCGGGGTTTAGCCGGTCCATGATTAATCCGCGTTTTCTCAAGTGTAGTGAGATGATGGTCTCAGTTCGATCACTTATAACAGTCCATTTATACCATACCAGGTGGCGTGCCATGACCAGACACTTTTTACTGTATCAAGCGGTGCGGTCGGAAAAAAAATACATCGCGACTTTTATCAGTCGCAGGCCGACAATGATTTCCACTACACCAGGCAGTTGCGGCTCGCACAGATATTCATATCATACAGAGGCAGCGTGGGAGGGATCAGAGACCAATGCGTCGTACATGCGCTGGAGACGGTGCAACCAACGGCGGTTTGCATCTCACCCCATAGATGAGTTCCCCCACGATGCCGTTCCAGGTGCCTGACTCGGAGTTCTTCTCGCCGTACTTGGAGTCGGGCACGATGGCGAGGTGGTATTTGATGTTCACGTGGCGCGCGATCTCCAATGCCAAGTCCACACAGTAGCCCTCGTAGCGCTCGTTCCCCTCCAGCAATTCCGAGTTCTTGCGCAACATCACGTACGGGGCCTCCTGTCGGTGGTGGGGGAGGGAAGAGGGGCCGGGGGGGGGGGGTGGTAGGGAGAGGTGAGGTTCAGGGAGATAGGTGAGGACATCGCTGTGTGTGTGAGTGCGAGTCGGTGCGAGTCCGAGTTCTTGTGCATCATCACGCACAGCGCCTCCTACCAGAGTTGATGGACAAGATGGGGTGAGAATGTGGGTTTGTTTGTGTGCGTATATGAGTGTGGGGAGCGGTAGTGTGGAGAGCGGTAGTGTAGCGGTTAGCGCACTGTGCTACGAACCTGGCGACCCAGGTTTGATTCCCGCTCACGGCCAACACCAGTGATGATTATCTGAATCGGTGCTGGGCCTCCCCTTGGTCGACTCAGCCTCAAATGAGTTCCTGGTGCAATGTGTAAAACTTCGCCACAAGGCAGACAAAAACGGCCGGGCGTGGTGTTGACCACCCACCCCCTCGTGTGCCGTGCCGGCCTTCATAGGTGCTCGCTAACAGCACTTGCCCCAAAAGTCTGTTACAGGCTATAGGGGGATCTTTGTCTTTTTTGGGGAGTGGTAGTGCAGCGGTTAGCAGAAACCTTGCTCTATTCAGAAAAATTGGGTTACATTCCTGGTACGAGTGAACTAAGAGGGGAAATGGTACATTTTTTAAAACAGTAACTTCAATAAATAGTAAATAATACAGAACAATGTGTTTTTTAATTACTGATGATGATTTGATGACGACGGAGGTGGGGCTGATGGTGAGGGATTCAGGAGGATGACTCCTCGCGAGATGCACGTGTTTGATCAACAACGCACAGTTGTTATCCTTTTGGCACTCTGGGGAGCACTAACCGCATTCGCTTCCTTGAGAATGGACCTCACAGTTAACTCGTTTATACCCAAATGTGTCAACGTAAAAGGGCACAATAGCAAGTTCAGAGTGGGATTACTGCGAGACTGAGGACTAAGCGGGCAGCCGAGGGGGCATGCGTAATCTTCGCAGACCGTTTCAAATGTTAAATTCTGCGCGCGCCTCTCCGGTGTCGGTGGCCTGGCACGACGTACACTGGTCAATCTACTGCTGTCCGGCAGGTCGCGAATAGGGAATTAGTATACATTTAGTAACTCGCAAATGTGTGAAACTCGAAAATCCAAAATTCACGCATAGCACGGGTTTAATGTAGTTTATTCTTTGTGGGCCTCTAGAGTTTTTGGTCCTGGATCAATGTCCTGTCCCCCCCCCCTCCCCAAGATGCACTGACAGAACAGACACAGGTGCGCACGCCCTCGTACCATGATGGTCGACACCACATACGTGTGATTGTTGGATTCGGTCAACTCCTTCTCCACGACGTTGTCCGTTGGCATCTTCAGCCCCATGGACTCAGTGTAGAAACCCGGTCTGGGACACGAGCACACGGGGACACAAGGGGACATAGGGATCCATGAGAACACGTGAACGAGATGAGGACACGGGGGAGCACGTGGGAATATGTGCGAACACGGGAATGCAAATACTTGGAGAGAGGATGCAGGGATGCCAAAGAACATGTGAAGAAGCATGCAGCATACGACAAAATCAGGTACGCGCAGGAATGTATAAGGACAAGCACAGACGCATGCAGACAAATGTAAGGACATTGGGAAGCCATAGGATGTGAATAAAATTGAAGGACAAGAGAGGCTCAAAGATGGGGGTGATACAAGGATGTAGGGCAGAAAGGTGAACAAGGCGATACACGGAGACACATGGGGACATGGAGGAGAAAGGAAGGACACATGGAGAATACGGTGAGATGTGGACAAATGTAGGTCTCTCTCTATATACTGTCTCAGTGCATGAGCCAATTATGGCCTCTTTATTCGTATTGGCTGATGGGGCGAGTGTTGTTAGCAAATACCAAGTAAGGGTGAGTTGGGAAAAGCCTCACACCTGGCCGCTTTTGTCTTCCAGTGCTGATACCACACCACTGCAGCAATATTTATGATTTTATTTTAGACTGTGTTGATCTAGGGAAGGCCCAAGCTAGGCTAGGATACCTTGCCACGAGTAACAATGATGACGATGATGCAAAAACGCAGGTCTCTGGGATTATAACAAAAGAGCACTCACAGTCAACTCCACCACCACTCCTCAATATATTGCGGTGACATCACCTAGGTTCACTTTGGGCTACGTGAAGTGTTGGAGGTTCGCTGGCAGTTCATATAGCAAACTCAGGTGTTAAGGGTTGACTGAGATGACTGGCAAATGCACCATCTACGCTTCCCACTGTGCCATGGCCGGCGTTCAGCTCATTGTTGTGTCTCTAATTCTATTGTTGGAGGATGGCCACTGTAAACTGCCACATCGCTCACACGTTTGGCTGTTATACACACACAAACATCCACACGAATACACGTGCTCGCACGTGCATGCTCCCTTACACACGCACACAGTTGCTCATGCAGCACACGTGACCTTACCTGCTTTGGGCCAGTCTCCTTCATCTCCATGACTAGGATGGAGTAGTTCGTCCGTCTCCCAAAGTCATCAAACTCAATGTTCTGCGTGAGTCCTGACACACGCACCTGCACAGGTGTGTGTGTGCGTACACGCGCATATATACATGCATGCATTCATAAATACATACGAAAATATAGTTTACAACCACTTGTCAATCCACTGCTGGATGAAGGCCTCCCCATAGTGCCAGTGCGGTGTACTTTTGAGGCCACATGAGAGAGAGGATGAGGGAGGCCTAGGACTGCTTCATATATTGATAAACGTTGATGTTTGCCATGGCCGGGTATCGAACTCCAGTTGCCGGGTTATTAGCATAGCTTGAAAACTACTGCTAACATTGTTATCCACTGTGCCACCGCTCTACCCCCATATACACACATGTCCATGTGTCCCCTCATCTCCTCGTCCCATGTGTACCCATGTGTGCCCCTGTGTGCCCCTGTGTCCCCCTGTCACATGTTTGAGAGCTCGCTCGATCTCGATGCCCTGGTTCCAGGGCACGGCTGGATTGGCGAGGCAGTCCCCGGCCACGCCGCGCCTCAGAATGTCTGTACGCTGCGTCCGCAGGTAACGGAACGCCTCAGCCAGCACCAGCACTGCATCGTATGACAGTGCAGACGTGTACTGCACGCGCACACCACACGGACACACATGGACAAGCGCAGGAACACGCGTGGTCATGTGGGGGACACGCACAGGGAGAAGAGGATTTGGAGCCACACATGGGGATAAAGAGATAAGGGGATGGGACTGGGAGATATAGGACTTGAGAAAAAGGAGACAGCACACACAAGGAGAAATGCACAGAGATGAGGAAATAAGGTGGAGACACGTAGGCGGCTAAGAATAAGGGGATAAGGGGACATGCAAAGACAAGGGACGTGGGGACACTCACAGATTGAATGGAGACACACAAAAAAACTTGCGTATCACTGCATGTCCCCTCCTGTACTTCCATCGCCCATAAAGGCCCTGTGCATATCTCCATGTGTCCCATCATGATCCCGTGGATACCTTGAAGGGGCCGTCATGTGATCCTCGGAACTCTCTCCCATCCAACTGTTTCCAGCGCTGCATGAATTTCTGGACCATGGGCTCATTGTAGTCGACGATCTGGAAGCCGGTGACATTTGCGCCGCCGCGCTGCAGGGTCTCGAGACTCATGTCCGAGAAACCCTGTGGGGAGATGGGAGAGACATCGAGATTCAGGGCATAGCGGAAGACACGGGGAGATATAGGGATGCAAGGAAACATGAGGACATGGGGATGGACGTGGATACATTAGGATGGCACGGGGACGTGAGGAAAAGGGATAGACACAAAGAGAAACAGAGGAGACATGGGGAGAGACAGGGATACAGGGAGGCATTCGGAGCAGGGAATGACAGGGGGATATAAGGACACTTAATTGTAGTGGGTATGGGAGGAGATGATATTTGGAACACAGAATGGGGAGATGTATTGCCCCGTGGCCTTGCTACTCACCAGATTGGCGAGGATGTAGTGATATCCCTTGACATTCTTGCCGATATTGATAATCTGGGTGATGGTCTTCTGCGTGACGGCTGGCTCGCAATCCAGCACCACGTAGCGGGGGTCGTGCGCCGAGTCGATCGACGTGAAGGCCGTACGGAGAGCTTCCTCGGCTCCATTCTCCTCCACGTTCACCGCGCTCACCTGGGACACGGGCAAGGTACCGCGCGGACACAGGCCAGAGATGCACACACTTGCGATCCTCCGTGTTTACAGTGTCACCTGGGACAACACGAGACCACGCGGACACAGTGGGATACACCCAGACACACAGGGGTGCATGGGACTGGGAAACACACACAACAAGCCTCCTTGATGTTCGTAAGAGACACGGGGACACACAAAGACATCCGGGATGCACAGAGACACAATTGGTGCACGTGCCTCCACCATGCTCAGCTGACAGCCGGGGACATCGGGACATGGGGAAACACAGCAACAAATGGGAGAGACCTGAGGATCCAGATTACGAAAAGGGAACAAGGGACAGGTACATCTTGGAAGATGTGGCAGGACACACTGATGCAGGAGGTTATTGAGAAAAATTACATACACAGGTAAATACGTACATGCATGGATATAAACGTACACTTGCATGTGTTAATGTGGACAAGTGCATGTGCACGCAGACTTGTGTAGATACACGTGTGTGCGTACCTGCCAGCCATTATGAGCAGCGGCTTCCAACACCGTCTGTAGGACAGAGAGACCTGCACACACATAACCACCATCAGCACCACCCATCAACATCATCAGCACTATCAACACTATCAACATCATCATGACCATCAATATGTCCATTGAGATGGACCACGTGTGCAGGAGTCAAATGTATTATTACATCGCAAGAACGTGAGAGATAGTGACGGCTCGGGAAGGTCGTCATCCAGCAGTGGATTGACCAGGGCCAACGTTGACAATGATGAACGATGCGGTTATCGCGGCGGTAGCGGCCCTCGCCTCTGTGCGTGTCGAAGAAGTAGAGGAGGCGGGAGGCGTTGGCGCGGCCCAGCACCCCGAGCAGTGCCCCGCTGACCGGTGGCCTCAGCTGCAGCACGAATTGCATGGGGCCATCGGCCGGATGCGACGGCGTCAGCAAGGAGACGTGAAGTGCCCCGCAGAATGACGTCAGCGTGTGCACCGAGTGCTTGTCGTAGAAGCCGAAGATAGCGTACACGCCGCGCGTGAACTGTGAGCAGACTGCAGGCACCGTACACAAATGTCTCCCGTGTAGCCTATACCAGCTGCTGGAGTAAGTGCTGTTAGCAAGCACCTATTAAGGTTGGAACGACGCACGAGGGGATGGTGTGGCTAACACCACGTTCGGCCGCCTTTGTCTCCCAAGCAGGGATGTTTACACACCTTGCCAGGTGTGTATTTAAGGCTGAGTCAAGCTAGTGCATATGCACTTGGGTTTCGACCTGTCCTGGTTTTCCCAAGGTCAGCCACTTGTTGAAGTAGCCATCTTGGGAAGTCTGTAAGTCTTCCCGGGATATTAAACGTGGCAGTTTTTGTCAGTTGTGAAACAATAATAATAATATATTCCTCAACACCATGGATTTACATGCAATATTGGGAGATATTCTTCCCATGATAAATTCCGTTTGTACCTCAGAAGAGGCAACTCTAACATGCGTGAACACGTGCAGGAAACACATGGAAATGTGTATGTACAAATAGGAGTGGTGGACACATTTTCCTTGCTAAGGGGTCAACAAGACTTTCAAATATCAATGGTAGGCCACATGTTAGCACACATTCCTCAAATAAAAGAGGCCCTTGCAGTGGCAAGTGACGGAGCGAGCTAAAATTAGAAACAGTGGTACAGGCATCAAACATTCCCATCCAGTACCTTATTAGTGCAGCTAGGTTTGTTGTGAAACTACAACTATGGATCATATAGTAAACCAATGTAGTCTGCACTCCTTCAACAGAGAAACAGTAAATCTACATAAACTTTGTCCTGAAGCCCTCTCGTGGCACGCAGACCTCGACATCGGTATTAAGCTCCTGAACATGTTGCCATATGCAAGAATAGTCCGGCTAAGATTATTGATGTTATGGATAAATATTGGTAGGCCGTATGCAATTAAGTCACAGCCCAGATACGATCAACCTACAATAGCTTCCCTACTCATGATGTATAGATACATACATTTACACTAATCCAATGACCAAATCATCCAGATTATGAAGCATTGAGCCTGGGTAGTGCTTAGATTGGTAACCACCACACAAACAAGGTGTTATAGGCTGTGGGGCCTCAATATGGACTGCAGAGGGCAGTGCAGCAAAATCCATGCTTGTACTATGTTTCCACGTCTTTGCTAACTGACCTCACCGCCCCGCACTGACCAACGTCGTGAGGTATGGTCAAATTGCCTCCACACCTCGCACTGTATGGGAAAACGCTCGTTAAGCAGTGGATTGACAAAAGGACTGCACAAGTACCGTACACACACAGGGCAAAATAATGATGAGTCGGTTCATCAATTAAAATCCATTCCTGAGTTCACGATGCATGCACGGAATTGCGCATGGCCTGCAATAATTGATTATTCTTTGCGCAATTGACATGCCAATGTTATGCTGTTATATACAGGCTAAGGGAGTAAATATAATTGTACAAATGAGACAAAAACAATTAATGAAAATGAGATGGTAAAAACATTTTGCTCATTGCCAATAATCTTGAGCGGAAGCTGGTGGACCCCAAAAGCAAGAATAACAACCCAAAGCTCTGACATCTTGATGGGTTTTTTTTCTCTTTCGTTTTGTAAAGCGTCTTGAGATGTTGTATTTCAAATTTGTATGCATTCAAATGATCGTTGTTGTATCGTAGCTTTGACCATTTTAATAAACATACACACAGGTCCTTTTTTAAATGTCCTACCCCTCTGCTGGAGCAGACGGACGAAGGGCAGAGGTCGCAAACGGGTTTTGATTCCTTACCCGTACCCGGCCGCACCAGGGTCGCAAACGGGTACCCGTACCCGGTCGTACCCGTACCCTACCCGTACCCGGCCGGGTAAGGGAAGGGTACGGGTATCGGGTACCTGATTGCGACCTCTGGGATGAAGCCATGTTGCAGGCGTGGGTGGGTTGATTCTAGGAACTTGAATTGTGAGAAGAGACAAGACGTTGGGAAATGAGTGACAAACAGTTACTCACCAGTGACTCACGGCCTACCCGTACCCATACCCGGCCGCACCAGGGTCGCAAACGGGTACCCGTACCCGGTCGTACCCGTACCCTACCCGTACCCTACCCGTACCCGGCCGGGTAAGGGTAGGGTACGGGTATCGGGTACCTGATTGCGACCTCTGGGATGAAGCCATGTTGCAGGCGTGGATGGGTTGATTCTAGGAACTGGAATTGTGAGAAGAGACAAGACGTTGGGAAATGAGTGACAAACAGTTACTCACCAGTGACTCACGGCCTACCCGTACCCATACCCGGCCGCACCAGGGTCGCAAACGGGTACCCGTACCCGGTCGTACCCGTACCCTACCCGTACCCGGCCGGGTAAGGGTAGGGTACGGGTATCGGGTACCCGGTTGCGACCTCTGACGAAGGGTATGGCATCAGTGCAGGACCGACTATAACTGAACCCACATTGCGGCTCCACAAGCTTGTCAGGATGCCTGGCAAAACAATGAATTATCCTTGCCAGGACCTTTTATTTTCAAGCTAAGGGAGATGCTCCAGGAGTTGTTACAACCAATGCCCATCTCCCTTCTTCCAAAGAGGGGCACCGTGGCTTCCTTACAATTCTGCAAAAAACATTCAGTGGTCTAAACGGTTTTTACGATGTCATATAAGGCAGCCTCCACACAATCGGCACCCTCCCTTGGAAATTCGCTTAAGTGGTTATCCCTGCTTGACCCTTTACCGGGTCTCAGGCTACGGATTGCTCTGTGCACCTCCACAGCAGAAGGCATACCAGCCAGCCGCTCACAGGGAACATTTTATTCCTCCAACCTTTGGGGCTCCACATCCTTTGCAGAGTAATTTTTTCTTGGGCTGTGGGAGTCCCTGCCTCCCAAACCTCACAAATATTCTAAGAAAATCTACAGACTTGGTCGTCGGATTCAGATATCTAATTACCATTTTCTCATTAAAGGATGGTAATTGGGGTGGTGCTGTGAACTTATGTAAAGATGGCATTAACAAATTCTTTGTGATCATGAACTGCTGAGACAGTTTCCAGCTCAGCATTCCTTGACCACCATTCATCCTTACAGCACCAAATTACTCTTTAAACCTCCGAATGAAGGTTGTGATGTCTCCTCATTCCCTGGGTATGAGATGTTGTATATGGTGAACATAGGCCTGCCACCTCCTCCACCAACCGGCGTTTCTGGGGAGGTCTGGATTCAGTATCCAGTGCAGCCATAGCGGCTGCATAAGCCAAATTCTAAACCTCACCCCTTTCTGCTCGGCGTTAGGGGGATTGGGATCAATAAGGCAGTATTAGCTGCAATCGTTGATCAAATTCTCACTTGAGATGTAATGCAGTTGGATGAGACCAGGCTACTGTTGGGTTGAATGGGGTCCGAGTTGATTGCTCTCGACCCCCCCGCCCCCCCATGGTGGAAAAACAGTAGGCACATCTTACAGATGGCAAGCCAATGATCAGTGGACTGATTAGTGGACTGATCAGTTTCAACGGTATGCACTTACTCTAACTGTTCTGCCACCGTATAGTCCAACAGATATTCACGATTTACCCAGCAAGCACCCAAGATGTTTTTTTTTCGTGGATTTTACAGCCTTCCCCTGTTTTTATTGAACTGATCATGCCTTACAATCACTTCCACCCAAGCGCTAGGGGTCCACAACCCACTCGACTATTAAAGTCACCCCAAAAAAGATGTCTGCCCCAAGAGGGCACTTTAGCCAACAACTCAGACAGAAGGTTTTAGAAAGCATCTGACAGCTTTGCCTGCATCCATCCACAGATGTTCACCTTCAGTGGGAGTGTAGGCAACCCCACCACCATCATTGTTTGCCTTCTGTTGATGGAGGGATACTCCTATAACAGACTTGAGTATAACCTCACACACATCACCGGCACGCTGCCACACACCCTTAATGTTTTTTTGTTCAATAGAAAGAACCACACTCCCTTTTGTTTGCTGTTACCCTGGTCTGAGATGAATGTCCACCACTCACGGTGTCTGGAGACAGAACCCAGTCAACTGGGCCTCCTGTCTTCTTGTTCTCCACCTGAAGACGGCTGCTTGCGTTGTGGCCGAAACGTCGTGAGAATTATTTTATTATGTTTAATTTTTATTATTTTATTATTTTCCTTCTACGTGACTTTACCGAAAGAACCAAGAAGATGAATCCCTGCAGTCACGAAAGCTTTAAATCGAAATTTGGGCTTCCTGTATTCCACAGACGTCCAAGCAGTAGTAGTTTATGGGTTTTAATCCCTAGGCATTGCCAAAAGTGTTTTGGCCAGAGGATATGCTAGAATAGATGTCTGCCCCCAGGGGACCTCAAGTGTATACTTATTTTAGATTTTCTCATGTGGTTCTCCGGTAATGAAATTTAAGAGGTGGAAAGGTTACCAACCGCTCGCACCTGACCACAGCATAGACGCACACACAGACACATAATGCGTTCACACACGTACACATGGTTACACACACAATGTTGTGAGGTGACAGTGGCAGTGGTGGTTAGAGAAATGTTTGATGGTGTTAGTGGTGGTGGCTGTGTTGATAGTGATATTGGTGGTGTCATGCACTATTCTGTAGATGTTATTCATATTGATGCTATTGATGATGACAATAATGGCCTACAGGGTTGGCAATGGCTATAATATTGATGTTATTGTTTACAATGTTGTTCATTATGACATTATAATGATGATATTGGTGATGATGTTATCAATGTCACCCAAGACTGTTGGTGATGGCTATATCAGTGGTATTTTGCTAATGCTAATGATATTAATAGTCTGTTATATTATTGTTGATGTTGGTGATATTGCCACATTAATGTTTTTTAAATCATTATTTTATTGATGATGATGCTGATGTGGGTAATGTCGCCTACATAATATTGGTGAATGCTATGACAGTATTGTGGGTATCATGTTTTTTTATGATGTTTACGATGATATGTTATTGATGATGACATTGATGTTCGTGATGCAAGTGATGATGAGGCCTACATGCATTAGTGATGTCGAAGCTGTTGGCCGAATGCAGGTGGTCGACGCGCGACTGCAGCTGGAAGGGCGCCATGGTCATGTTGGGGTCGCTGTTGTGCAGATAAATCCCGAAGCGGAACGCCTCGTACTCCTGTTCCATGTGCGGGATGAAGAGGGCTCCTGGAGACACGCGAGGACACACGGAGGCGTGGTGAATGGGACATCAGGACACGCTGAGATAGGTAACACGCAGAGACACGTGGGGGAATGCCCAGACACATGACAAACTGAGACAGGGATGCACAGATACATGGGATACATTTAGACAAGAAGGGGACAAGGGAAACATGAACAGAGGTACATCCGATAGTGAGATCTGGGAAACACGTGAGGACATCATTAGAGACATACGAGGATGTAGATGGACACATCGAGAGACAGGGGAAACACAGAAATTAGTAGGGACAATGGAGACGAATATAGGATCGTTGACTGTGGTTCGGGAGACAGATACATAATGGGGGACTCACAGGTTTGTGAGGATACATTGAGACACATGGGGAGATAACAAGTGTTGAGATTCACACATCGATACAAAAGACAACACAGACAAGGGGACACAAAGTGATAACAAATGCACTGACTCAGAAATGAAGGGGAGATATGACAGATCCATTAGGGACACAAAGACAGGAATATGCAGGGCATACGAGAGGAACACGGTGGAAAAAAAAATGCAATGACTCACACGCATAGTTACAGGGTCACACAGTGAGACAGAGATTAGAGGGAGATACATAAGCAACAAGAACATAATATACGAGTTGAACACAGGAGATACACAGGTCCACTATGGGATAAAAGGACGTCAAGAAGACATGGAAGGCATAGACAATAAATACAGTTACATGCTGGGACATAGGGACATACACATTTGAGGGAGACATAGGAGACACGAGGACGTGAGAGTGTCTATCTTATATTTATATATCTGTTCAGACGCATGGGGACATGAGAGGGGATATGATGGGACACGTAGATATGTGAGGACATGGAAACATCCAATGAATTTTGAGGTGGGTGATTTGTTACCACCACCACAATTTAAATATTTTCTTTACAATCTTTTACCAACCTGCATGGTGAAGTATGGTCAAAGGAATTAAGAAGGCTAATGGGCATCACACCCTTCCTTCCTGTAAACTAAAGGAGTCACGCCGCCTTCTTGGAGCAGTAGGCAATAAAGGAGGAGGCTGCGTTCTCCGTGACAGAAAATTGAGCTCTTATAATAATAATCATTGAGCCTCTGAGCTACCCGAACTCTCACTCAAACCCAAACCCTAACTCTAGTCCCTAGACTAAAACATTGTCCCCCCCACTGTAAATATTTTATATAGTGAGGTATATTATTGTTAAGTGACAAATTGGATATCACATTTTGGATATTTAATGGTGCAACATATAAAGAAAATGCTGATATGAAAGAAGCAACGTTTTGTATGATCAGCAACAAAGACCTTCATTCAGCACTAGATTGATCAAAGTGCTGACCATTTCTTTTTTTTCCTTCCCCAACCAGTGTGGAGCAAAGATGTGGCGGTATTAGCACTGCGCTATAAACCCAGCCTCCTGGGTGGGATTCCTGGCTATGGCTAAGATCCTTGACGAGTGACATCTCCTCCGGTCTTAGGCCCCTTGCTGAGCCAAACCGCACTGACCAGCGTGGTGAAGCAAAATCAAACAGCCCCCATGCCCGACACAGCATGGAGAGGCCTTCATCCAATATTGGATTGATTAATGGCAATGTGCTGTTGCCCGGTTGTAAATAAAATAATAATTTACAACCGGGAGATGGCATATTGATGCAAAAAAAAAATTCAATGGAGACTGGGGGTTGAAAACAAATAGGACAAAATGGTGAAAATATAAAAGCCACAAAACAAAAAAGAGTGGAGCCATGGGAACGTTTAAAAACACATTCTTTAAAATTTATGTACACAACATTTTAAAACATTCTAATAAACGGTCAGAAAAGTCGAAATGGTTTCCTCCTCAATTGAGATTGGGCCAGTGGTCATCTTATGTTTACATCCCTCAACCACTGGTGTAAATTCCACGCTTCTATGCCCAGGACTTGTATGTCCAAATGACAACCACTGTTGACTTCCCCCACAAACTGGTACTCGTTTTAATGACCCCAGAGGGATGATGGGATGAATTAACTGCTGTCCTTCTGACTTTAAGTCAAGCGCTATTCCGACATGCCATGCAGATGGAAAATTACACTTTCAACTAAGGTTGAAAGCGTTATAAAAGGGTTTCCTTTGCAGTATTTCAAGTACCATTCACCCTGTCTGTAACGTGGGGGAAGGGTGATGCATCCATCATGACTCATGCAAATATGGCTTCAGTACTGTTAATTAAATTCAACCGAAAACAAACGCATGCTGGAACGCATTACATAATCCATGCTTATGCGTATATTTTCCGATTTAATAAATTTGTTACAATTTATTTCTTGATTTTTAAAATGTTTATCCCAATCGGTGCTAACTAATTCAAAGGCATGATGGCTGGTGGTTAAGAGGAGAAGGCAGACATGGAGACATGCACAATTACACTTGTAGACAGTTTAACACGTAGGCTTTCGCGACCAATAGTATCCATAATAGAGGTTATTTGGATTAGATCACGTAAATATAAATGTGTCGTTAAACCCGCCACCACCCGATACAGCCAATTAGTTAGGACACTCGGAGACAAATATAGATACGGGCACAAACGCATGGAGACATAGAAGCACATGAGATACATATAAAGGCAAGGGGACACGTGGCAACACAGGGACACCAAAAATAACAGGAGCACATTGAAACAGAGACATTGGGACACAGAGACAAAGAGACACGAGGACACATGGAGACATGGGGAATCGGGATACATGAAGAAATGGCAAACACACAAAGACATGGAGAAATTAAATACACGGGGAGAAACAAGGATATTCCACGAAGCTCATGGTCCTTCCAAAACCGCATGAGCACAAACCATGGCAGATGTGTATACCTGATGCACATACGGAAATTTTTTAATTGTCCAGTGTGCAGCTGTGGTCATCCAGAACCGACCGTACAACATATAACGACGCACTGCCTGATCCACAAATACGAAGGAGACATCACAGCGATACACTCTGCTGCTCCTGACACGGTTATCTGGCTTGGCCACCTGAATGTGAAATTGTCGTTGTTGCTCTGCATCTACATCAGCAGCCATACGAAAGAAGACAACGAGACAACACAGAGACAGACACACGGCGACATGCATGCATTGTCCACAGGAAGCACCCCTCCCCCCACCCTGTCAATGGGTGAGAGGAGCGGTTGTGCCCCCAGGGCATCTCCATCGCTTAATTGAACCATCGACCCAGCTTTAGATAATCACACACTCATACACACACACAGTCATATACATAACAAAGACAAAAATCCTCCGTATAGCTTTAACAGACTGTAGGAGCAAGTACAGTTAGTGAGCACCTATGAAGGCCGGCACAACACATGAGGGGGTGGGTGGCCAGCACCATGTCTGGCCGCCTTTGTTTCCCGAGTCGATCTAGGGAAGGCCCAGAACTGGTTCAGATCATCGTCACTGGAGGCCACCGTGAGCGGGAATCTAACTCGGGTTGTCGGGTTCGTAGCGCAGCGCGCTAACCACTACACTGCGGCTGCCCACTCACTACCGCTCTCCATTCATACCCACACTCATATATATACACACAGTCACAAGCAAATAATTTACTTTTATATGCAACCTTATACATAGAACACACCTAGAGTACTGGCTTATTGGTGATATCATAAGCCTTGACCAGGTCAAATAAAGCAGAGCTATAGGACCTATTGCAATTGCCTACACCTCTGCTGTAACAGATGGACAGGGAATATGGCGTCTGCTGGGGCACCCCTACCTGTAATCCAATTGGGCCTTCGCAAGCTTCTCCGCGTGCTTGGCAACACAATGAATAATCCTTGCCAGGACCATTCTTGGCAAACTAAGGAGGGAAATGCCCTGGTGGCTTTTACAATGAATGTGATCCCCTTTCTTAAAAAAGGGGGCAACCAGTGCATCCTTCCAATCCTGTGGAACCTGTCCTGTGGTTCAATTAGATTGAACGATTTAAGTGAGGCATCTTGCACACATTCACTACCCTGCTTCAGAAGTTCACTTTGGAGGTCATCCCTGTCCAACACTTTACCTGGTCTCAGGCTTCGGATTGCAGATGTCACATAAGCCAGACACTCACCAGGGGTAACTATTTTCTCCAACATTTGATGCTCAAAAACACTCTAAGAATCAGTCCTCCTTCCCCCCCCCCCCCTTTGTCCCATGGTGCTGTATGGCTTGATGAGTTATCCATATCTCTAGAACTCACAGGAATGTTCAGCAAATCTACATACCTGATCTTGGGAGTTGATCAGATTGTCATTGTTTCCTTTCAGGATGGTAATAGGGGTGATGTTGAAAATAACTTTATAGATGATATTAAAGAGTATGTATGTTGAACTTCTTTTGCACCGTTCGTAACCAACCATGCTAATCTGAGGTGTGGGGCAAGGACAACAGACTAAGTACAAAAAGCAGTTTTAAAGGAATTAGTTTTCAAAGAATGATTTGTGGTTATGGGCCATTGAGGCAGTTTCCATCTCCTCAGGAATCGGCAACCACCAGTTTTTTTGTGAGAAAAGATTCTAAACTTCTGAACGTAAGCCTCTTCATTTTTGGACATGGGATATTGTACATGGTGAGAATGCACCTGCCACTTTCAGCTAGCTGGAACACATCAGTCAGTTATTATGAGGAGGGCTTATTAGGCATCCAAGGCAACCCACATCAATTGCATCAGCCAGAGTCCTGAACCCCTCAACATCGTAAGGAAAGGAAGATGCCAATCCCTACTGCAAACAGTCCTTAACTTCTCAATTCCAAGAGCTAGCTGATACCAGGCTATTGTGGGTTTAAATGAAGTCCAAGGTGGACACCCATCCCCCACAGTGGAAGTGCTGTACAGCACAAGCATCTTAAATATGACAAGCTAATGGTCAGCGGACAGATCAGCTCGTCCAAACAGCCCCCACCTCATCGTGGTGCTAAATGGTGAAACTGTGGTGTGTTTTGAA